ATGGGATATTTCAAAACCTTTGTTGCAATTAGGTTATACCTCTTGATTTTAGAGCTCAATAGGTCCTGTTTGTGGATTGAGCTTGTACTTCATTTTTTCAAACCCCTGTGGCTGGGGTTCTACGTCATGTCTGCTGTGTGCACGCATACAGGTAGGGCTGTGCAATGAGTGTGCTATGACAATCACCATGAGAATGCAAATGTACTTGTCTTGCAAATGTACTTGGAGTGAGAGAATGATGCTGAAAGAGACAAAAAATGGTGACATTTAACCTGCTCGAAATGAAATACATTGCTTAGATTTTTCCTTATATATTAAATTATTTAATCTTATTTAATTTGGACATATGTTGTCAGTGTATTGTAGGAATCCAAGGTTCATCTTTAATAAAAACTGATTTATATTTTGTTGATTATATTGTTCACTAATAACACATCTTTTCAAAAAGGTTTTTTTTTTTATCTTTTAAAACAATTAAAGCATTTTAATAGAGTTAAACATACTTTTATGACCCTTCTATGAATTCGATAGAGATTATAATCACAATAATTATGTGATTCTTCAATATTTGCCACCCATAACTCTAATGTATAATTAGGTCTGTCTCTCTCACACATCTATGATAAGGGGCAAGCAGAAAAAGTGTATAGATGATTTATGTGGAATGTACAGTACTGTAATCAGTCTTTTATATCTAACCCCTATTCTTATAAAGAGAAAGGTGACAAAACAAAGGCAGTTCCCATGCTGTGGAGGCGGACCTTTCCCAGTTTAAATTGTGATGTTCAAATCAACAGTGCTCTCATAGTATTACTCTGAAGGCTCTGATACTCTGGGCTCTCACAGATAACAGACTATCAATTGCAACTGCTGCCCTAATATAACATCTCTTATTTTTTATACAAACTTTTGATCATGAATTTCATAGCTCTTGCTGCCTGCCTTGTCAGCAGTGTTCTGGCCTGGAATGAAATTGAAAGAATACAGGAATGTGGACATCAGTGTTCTGAGGTAAAATTAATAAATTATTATTTTCTGTATTAGTAGATATACTTTAGCAACCATTTCTTTTTTTACCCAAATGTTTTTGCCACTTATTTATATTGTTATGCTAATGAACTGAAAATATTAATGTACAGATATGACAAGGATTGTGTTTTGAATTCAATGTTCAGTTTATTATTAAAAGATGAGTTAATAGCCTTGATAGGGTGCCAAAGCTGTAGAGTAGCACCGCTGAGTAATATTTTTATTGTTCTAATTCCTCTCGTGTTGGTAAGATTGTAAAGTTCACATACTGTAACGTGCGCATATACTTTACTTTCATCTTCTTGGATTTGCATCCTGAAGTAATCAGTGTCACATAGGAAACATATGCTTACAAATCTTCTTTCACAGATCTTTTTGCTTGTGCAAACATGTTTTTAACAATCTGAATGTGTACTAAAGGATGGAGAGCTGTACCTGCTTGTGTAATATGCACGGAAGTAATCAAGATCACAGTGTTTTATAACATCAAACACAGTTTAAAGGTGTTTGGTACAGAATGAACTGGCTAATTGGTTGATAACACTAATTATTGAATCATCTGCACTTATTAGTGAAGTAATTAGTATTTAGTGGTTTTAGGTTTGTCTGTAATAATAAATGTTGCTAAACGTCTTGTGGAGGATTATCATCTGCAATAGTTCAGCCAATTAGGTTTTGGGAGCCAGTTATAAAATCAAATGTTTCTCTCCAGACACTTTAGTGGCTGGTTAGAATGATATGGTGAAACAGATACCTATGTTATGAGAAGAGGGGCTTTAAATTAAAATAAAAAATAATGTGTAATTTTTTACTTATCATTAATCATGATGTGTCAATAGAAAAAAAACATTTAAATGGAATGTAAGCCATTGTCTCACATTGGCACTAAATAATATAAATAGCAATTTTGATGTTCTTTATGTACAGTGTCTATAGAAAATAATCTGAATAAAATGGCTATATATTATATATATAATATATAATACATTACTGCTTAAGAGCAGTTTTAGAACATGGTGGCTTTTTTGTAATGTGTTTGAATACAGATGTTTCTTCTTGCCCTTTGAAAAACATCTAATACATGATTTAAGGAGATTTAAAGGAGTGATGTTTGTTATACTTTATATACTGTGGTAAGACACTAGTGGGTGCATTGATCTCTAAGAGGGTCTATTAGTGATCCTGGCCATTTTTTTTTCACCATTGGACTTTAAATATGATGAAAGAGAAAACTGTTCTCTGCCTTACACCTCGCATATAACTCTTTTCACATTGTGCTCAGCATTAAAGTGGAACTGTAATTCTATTTTTATATTTTGATTTTGGAGTTAGAATGAATTAGCATTGATGAGGTCATTTCAAACCACAATAAAATTAAAATGTAAAACAACGTTTCGGCTGTGGAGCCTTCTTCAGGTATGAGCAACCCTCATACCTAATGTAGGCCCCATAGCTGAAAAGTTGTGTTTCCTTTCCTTTCTTTTCAGCATGGAATAAACCTATTACCTGTTCATTATTAAGTAATAGTAGTCTTTTTACAATGATTTGGTATTGATATTGTTATGGATATGGATAATTAAAAATGGAGCCTACGCATGCTGACGCAGTTACCTACTGTACTTGAGCTACTATTACTTAATTACCACAGAATAGGAAGTAATGACTTCCTGCATGTGCCTACATATACAATTAAGTGGAAAATGCCTGCAGAAACAGAAATAAATGCAACACAACAGATATATTTAGCTTCATTATGCTTTTGTAAAAAAATAAAGGCCGGGAATGACATAACCATTACTGGTGTGCCTTGTCATTTGATTTGATCTTGTCAGAAAAACCAGGCTGAAAAATTTGTAACCAAATTTTTTTAATTCTGGACCAGCCTAGAATTCCCAAACTTTGTTGTGTAATTATTCATGTAGTATATTCGTTGTGTGTTGTTGGGATTTTAACCCTTAGCCTCACTAGTGTCAATGCAACCTGATTTGCACAAGGTGTGTGATGATGAGTTAACTCCATCTCCTTCCCACCAGAACAGTAGAAAACTCATACTTTATGACAAACTCACAATGTAGTTTTTTTGTATTGTATTTGAACATCAATGCAATCTTAACACAAGTTTAATTAACCCTTAAGTACTTAGTTTGTAGAATATAATTTCATTACACAACAAATTAAATACAGTCTAATTTTTAGAGAGCAATCCAACATCAACAGTCTAAAAAGTATTTTAATGTTATGAGCTAACTCTTAATCAAAAAGAAACAAGCAGTACCCTTATAATATTAGTGTTCTTCCTCTTATATAAACTAACAACAAGATTAACACATCTATTTAGAAGTATTTTTTAATCTTAGAAACAATTTGTATCCTTCATTGTTAGTATAGCTGGAGGGTCTATTTAAACCTTAAACCATTCTGCAAGTTCTAGGCCCTCTTGATGATAAGAATTATGCCAAGATAGTCAGATACAAATGAGGTTTTCTTAGTAGAATATGGAGTGTGTACAATTTTAATTATTTCAGCAAATGATGATTTGCTTAATGTGGCCTTCTAAATTTAATATACAAAAACATTTTTGTTGGTTGTAATTTCAATAGGCATTTTGCTTATAATATGTGTGCACATTCACAAATGCCTCACCACATACCGTATCTTTTGTGGTTTTAAAAAGAAAAACAATTGTCTCATTGCCAAACATGAGATCACCCATCATTGAAAGAACTGAAAGCTTTAACTTGTTAGTACTTGTCAGCTGAGTAGTTATCCTCACCTGTTCAGCTGTTGAATCCTTGCCTATAACAGCTAACATGTACAATGCATATCCCCTTGATATCCTCTTTGTTTAGTATTTTGTTGGAGAGATTTCAAAATTTCATGTTTATATAACTGGAAAGAATCACTTAGATTGTTGAAAGCACATGGCAACTCAAGCTAACTATGTGGCACAATTTCATAATAGAAATGTATGCATGTTGCAATTGAATAGTGTATTAGAAAATGGTATCTACTGTAGCTACTGCATAATGTAGCACTATTCAGAATAACCCAATTGTCTTGAACATAAAAACAAAGCAGGAATAGAAAACAGTACTATTAAAATTAAAAATTCGGTGTATACTTTGTTTCTACTTCCATAACACTCCATATTTTTTCAGATATCAATAAACCAGGAAATGAATTTACATTCATTTTCTATTCTAGCATATTTAGGCAAAGCACACCCTTTTCATGTACAAAAAAGGAAAAGAATAAAGCACCAGATGCATTATATCAGATAAGGATATCTTCTAATTTCTGGAAAATCCCTTTTATTTTCCCGACAGAATATCATACAGTGCAGTTTCCTCAAGGCGTTGTAGACAGGAAGTTTCTCCTATTGGTTTCATAACTTATTCACAGGTCAACATTGAACACTGAATGCCTGTTTTGTTAATGAGCTTGAGATCCTGTCTAATACATTTTTGTTATGTATTGGAACACCTGCACAAGACTTTGATGTTATAAATGACATGTTATAAATGACGTATCAGGCAGTTTTTGTGGTGAGAAATTTGAAAGGTGTCATTAAGGAAGTAACTTCAAATGAGGATCTGAATGTACCAACATATCAATACAAAATTCATGCTCAATGTGTTTGTCTATCAACCATGAAGTGATACACATCTTTTCCACTAAAGTAGGTCAATTTAATTATTTTAAGTCATTTTCAATGTTATGTTTTAGGATAATAATCTTACTGTCATATAGTAGACGTGTGAAAAGTTGTGGTGATTTGTTGCACTACAATATTGTGTTCTGCTTTCTGTTTTTATACCTTCTTTTTCTTACACAGGAATTGTGATATTGGTCTTATTTAATATGTATTTTGCATTAGAAAACTACATGTCTTAGTGGACTGTCTTGTTTCTAGGTACGTAATGGCATATTTGTATCTTTCTTACTACAGGGTCTGCACTGCAAATCTAAAGCACATTGTAAGTATCTCTTTATATAGGATCATGTCATTTAACATATTTAAAAAAACAATATATACAGTACATGTTATAAACTCTAGTAAGAATTTAGTATATTGATATTAATTTATGGTCTTAGTTTGTCACTTTAGTTTTCCACTGACCTACCTAATATTTATCTGTTTTATAAAACAAAAAATCAATAAAAATACCTCCTGGAGATAATTGCACGATCCAATTAATTGCAACAGCATGGAAACTTTCCAACTTCTTCTCTAAGCAGATATTCATACACCAACCCATATCTGCTAGTCACACATGCCATGCTGTATTAATGATTACATCTCCACATCTTAAGAGACTACTCATGGCTAACTCATCTTATATTTGTATAATGAAACATTTAAACATGCCTCTGATTCCTTAACAGAAGTGTGTGTCCTGATTTTGTTGGTTCAATAACCTGAAACCCAATTAGACTGTTTATTATAGTCTCTGGTAGACCTTTCTTGGATGCTTGTTATGAATCAACAATATTACTTCCTACACCTGGGGGCTCAAATGAGAATAAAACAAAGCACAAAGATAACTCTTTTGATTAATTACACTAAAAACTAGTAGCTAAAAAATGAATTTACCAAACTGCTCAAGGATTAAAAAAGGAAATGCGAGCAGAAAAGAGTAATTTTGGTTCAGATAAAAAGTGAAAACCAAAAGTTACACTTTAACTTGGTGCACTGAATCAAGTTTTGAACACCTTTTTAAAATAGCTGTGTTTCAACAATGTCAAGAGGAAATAGTTACAGGAAGATTTCAAAAGGGAACCCTACTTCTGTTCCCTTGAAACCAGTTGAAACAAAGTTTTCATTCATAGCTTAGACAAGAGTGGAAAGTGACTCTCCCAACTTTTTCCATACAAAAATCCTTTCTGACCCTATTTATTTATTTATTTATAAACAACAAATCAGAGATAAACAATTCTACCCATCACCGCTGACTATATGTGAGTACATATATTTTCTAAACCAAAACCAGGGCTATTTTTACATTTAGTTTTTCTTACTTACACTGGCTCCAGGATGTTTTTGTTGTGTTTTTAACGCCTCTCAGTATTGTATAGAAACACAATGTCACTGGAAGTTTCATGTTTGTATCTGTGCCAGCAGACTGCAATGGTACAAAATAATGGTACGAGATATAGAATACAAAAGTGATTAAATAAACTCATTAGCTAAAATATTGGGAACCTCCAAGAACAACAGTACACACTGTCAGTTACGGGCAATCAAGGATTGAGGAGCGTGAATGATTGTTCTCCCTGGCCAAAACAATCCCCAATGTTGAATCTCTTATTCTTATCCAAGCTTACCAACCACATCACCTCAATTCTTCCACTGATTCACATGTGCTCTGCACATCTGTGATTGATGTAACCTACTGCTGAAGAAAGATATCATGGGAACTGTCATTTGGTTCACACTTATAACACTGCAGGCTCACGGTTGTTCAGTAAGACAGATGCATAGCAGTGAATGGCAAAAAAAATATCCTCATCAACTCAGTGTTGAAAGATGACATAGTGCTGCTTCAAACCACTGATGATTGAACCATGGAATTCATCCAGTGCTCTGAAGGTGTTCCCTTCAGCCCCCCACTAGCCCTCTGATAACCTTTTCAGTATTTCACAAGTTTTTATTTAAATAAATGGAAGTTTTACTTAATCTTTCCTTAGCAGTTATTTTATCATGTATATATGACCTGTATACTGTATATGTTTTTTCTTTCTAGCATCAGTATCATTCTGTAAAAGACTACCAAAAGTTATAACTGAGCCTGTGTTTCAAAGTGTGAACATTTCAACAGTCATGAAGTGTGAAAAAAGGCAAATGTGCTCTTTGCATCTAAAAATTATGGGAATTTTGCGCTTTGATGGTATGTATTTTTTGTTTTATATTTTTGATGTTTTGATACTGTATATAATTAGTAATTACATAAGAAAGAAAGCATTCATCATATTACACTATAAGCCTGCACAACAGAATTGCTGTGCTGTTTTTATTTTTCCAAACATTTCAAAATGTTTGCAAAATGAATTTTGTTTAGCTTTTTCGTGTGTAAGGGTTAAGAAAATCCGCCATCTTGCATAAAAAGGGGACATTGTTCTTACATGTATAACAATATCTCATTATTTGACTTATCAAACAAGTGCCTCCAAAACCTAAAACAATTTTAGGATACAAGTGATCTTTTAATAAATATACACATAAGATATAAAGAGATAATCAGCAGTATTTTGTATGTCACATTAGCTGTTACATATTCATCTTAGAGTTAAATATAGTTAGATATGTTGTAGATATACAGTAACTTTTTCATTTAAATGAAAGAAAGAGAAAGACATACAGTACAACTGCTGTTTCCTCCCCATTTACAATACTGTGTTATACGTGAACCATTAAAAGTCAAAGAACGTTGATCATTCATTTGATCTTTGCCATAGACTGAGTTCAGTTTGGAAGATAGATGACAATGATAAGCTATTTGCATTTATTTATCTTTTACTTTTACTTGCGATAATGTTTTTTTTTAGTCTTTATCTTTTACAAGTTATACCTTTTACTAGTAATGACATTGCACAATTTACACAGTATATTTTGTCTATTGATATTTCCTAGAAAACATTCGAGGTGTGAAAATGTGCTCAATGTCCCTTGGAACGTCTAATGAGCAATGTCATATTATCAGTTTTAAAGCTACAGATAGGAAGCTTATTGGACAAGAGGTAAATATTTATCCTTTATACTGTAATATACTTGGAAAATTGCACTTCAATGGAAATAATGAACAAAAAAAGATTTAGCTGGAAAACTCTAAAGTATATACTGTCTTCTTTAAGAAATATTTTGAAAAGTTTTCACAAATCCCTGTGAAAGTAACATAATAAGAGAGAGAAAGCAACATGAAGTTCCTGAAAATGTGCATTTCTAACTTCCAAACCATGAGATGAGATCGCTTTATTGGCCATATACAATTTCTTGTATTAGGAATTTGTCTTTTCACAAACCCCAACTTGCTATCCATGAGACACACAGAGAGGGAAGCTTGGGGTCAGAGCGCAAGGTCAGCCATTTATATGGCACCTTTGGAGCAGTTGGGCTTAAGTGCCTTGTTCAGGGGCCCAATGGAGTAGTATTCGTCTGCAGGCCGCGGGATACAAACCTGCAACCTTCCTGCCACAGGTGCAGATCCTTTGCCACAGAGCCACCTCAATGCACTGTAATATAAATTAGGTACAGTTACTATGAGAGACCTAAGCATCATTATCGCAGTAAAACGATGCAGGACAAAAATGCTTTAAGTGAGCAGTTTTGTATGTTATTCTTCTAGGCTGTGCCTTTGAGAAATAATAATTTGCATTTCTGTTGCCTTTGCAGGTGCATGTTCAGTACAATTGTTTTGATGTTGTAATTGGTGAACAGGTTGATGTAACGCTTAAAACAATTCCATATTATTGTGATTTAAGATTGTCCCAAAGCTACCATGTTCAAGGCAAGTATTGCAATAAAAAATAACCTACAGCCCCAAGAAGCAGCCAGGCTGCTTCACCGTAGGGATAATGAGTACCTGCTAAAGCTGGCTGTGCTTCAGAACTCAGAAAGCTGCAGAACTCAGAGTAGTAGTCTTACTATTAACCTGATATCACTGCATTTAAACAATAATAATGCTTAGTTTCCTGCAGGTTATCCAGCACTAAGAGTGAGCAGCTGAATTGCCATTATACAATATAATTTCTACACTCTTGTATTTTTCAGTAAACCTTGTTTGTAATGAGAGTGGCAGTCAATTATCAATAGTAATACATATTGGACTTACATTATTCTATAGAGAATATCAAACTTCTTCTAGGCTCTGTATTAAATACCACTCAACATAAATAGATCAATATTGTCTGCAATGAGAAAGAATTGCCATTTATAGAAAAGATTACACATACACATTGTTTGTGAATAACGTTTGCAAAACAAAAATAATTATTTATAAATTATTTGTTCACTGTTGTAAGATCTTTCAGTAGATTATTATACTAACCTAATTTTATATTTTTATTTCAGACTGCACTAATAAAGACGTAAGACATAATATACCCCAATGCATTGGTAAGTCTCTTGCACAAACCCCAACAGTTTAGATCTTCTTGCGGTAAACAGAAAAACATTTGATAGCTAAAAACACAAACCATTTTTTATTTTGAAAATCAACCTTTTATTTTCACTAACTCTCAAATAATTGATTAAACTCATTGTGTCTGACATCTGTACTGTTTGTCCATGTTAAAAATTATATTGTACTTTAACAGATACCATTGTAAGAGTACTAACTTCAATATTTTGCTCAGATAGGGTATTTACACCCCAATGGTGTATGACTACTAGAAGCTGTAATTGAAATATATTACTTATTTACATATGAAGTTCTCACTGAATATTGGTGCATAATACTATTATTATTATTTCATTTATATTATTTAATATAAAGTATAAGATAGCACTTTCTTTGTTGTTTTCTAAAAATAACATATTTTGCAGATTTGAAATAAAAATGGTGTTGTTTTGTAACAGCTGGAAAACTAGATTACACTGTTGAAGTCGAAAGGAAGCTACTGTCTGTGCAAGTTACGGAGCTCCTTGATTATAAGGATTACCACCTGAGACTATGCCACAAGTGGTACTCCTGTCAAAGCACTGGATCTTATGCACTGGTATGTACATTAGCAAATCTATTTCTATAGGTTTATGTAGTAGAATAGTCTACTTAGGTTTAATCTGTAAGAAAGATCAATTTATTTTTTTTACTGTTATAGTCATTTTTGATTTGATCATGTGAGTCTCCATAATGCAAATTGGCTATAAAAAGACTGATTTATTAGGGAATGCTCTTTCCATTACGCAGGGGCATTTTGGCTATAAGGTGTCTGAAGTATACTGAAACTAGTAAAAAACTAATGAAAACAGTTGCATGGCAGCCTTAGTGTAACAACACAGGTTTGGAATGCTGGTGTGTTCTCTTATTCATTGATGTCAGTCTTTGTCCAGACTGCACACCTTTAATGTTGTGCACTGTGTCTGTGCACAGGTACTATATTTTCATTCTTTGGAAACATTGATATAAACATTGTTGTTAAAATGAATAGCAAAGGTATGGATTTTTGTGCTAGTGCTAGTTGAAAGCTATTAAAGTTTGATGTTATAAAGTGATAGCAGAGAAATTATGAACATGTGATATTATTAACTGGGTTTAGTAGTTTGTCTTATCAAAAAGCTTTTTTTAAAAAAAAATCGTTTTACCTTTCTCCACTACAGAATTTCTCATTCTTTAGCATATCCTTTTATCTATTTTTCCATGTTTTCTTTTTGAAATAATCACAAAATAATTTTGCAGATGGAATATTCCAACTAATAAAATGACCAATTACTATATACAAACACCATACTTATTGTGAATCCAAACGCTGTACCCCCTAACCCACTAATTCCCACTCGGCCACTGGTATCTACTGTATATTACAGTTTTCTGTAATGAGCATCACAGTGTTGCAGAGGTTATCATTGTTACCTCACAGTGCTGGGCCCCTGGGTTCAATTCCAGATCTATGGTGCTGTCTGTGTGGAGTTTGTATGTTCGTGTGCATGTGTTCTCATGGATTTCCTCCTAGTGTTCTGGTTTCCTGCTATAGTCCAAAGACACACTAGTGTCAGGAAGCGTTTATCAGGACCCTACGCAGACAGCAGAATCTGGAAGGGAGTGCAACAAACATGGGGGAAAGAGGACTAGGAACGGGGCTGGTAGAAGAACAGGGGGCGTGTCGGTGGTGTACTGTTGCTCAGGGGGGGCGTTGTCCAGGCGAAAGTCCTAAGGGAGTCCGTAGGGAAATGTAGAGTGGGAGCAAAAGTCCAGAACCGTGTATTCCATCCAAGACAGACGAGACAAAAGCTAAAAACCGGAGCGGGATCTGGGGCAATGAAAAGGGGTAACGGGGCCAGGCGCTCCAAGCTCCGGACCCAGATCGTCAGGAAGCCGTTGCGAAGCCTATGCCGTCGGGCCACTCCTGGACTCGCTGGTAGGCAGGCTTCTGGGCGTCCATCTTCCAAAACTGAGTCCGGAATGGTAGGAGTACCTGGCTTTTGTAGGGAGGGGCTGGACAGGAGTCAGGTGTAGGAAAATCAAGCAAAACGGAAAAGAGCCGGAGCACCCTTAGGAGGAGGGACTTACGGTCGTGACAACTAGTAGGTTAATTGGCCTTGGTGTGAATATGTGTTTCTGTCCTGTGCATCCTGCCGTACGCCTGTTGCTTGCCAAGATAGGCTTCGGCTGTCTGTGCTGGATAAAGCAGTTAAAAATAGATGGATACATGGTTGGATTTTCTATAATGCAGTAGTTTACAGAAACACAACTATTTCATTATAGCAGAAATGACTGTACTAACAAAATGGTTAATTGTGAATCTATACCTTCTTCCTATTTGATTCTACTTCAATGTGCTGGTAAAGTTTTTTGTCTATATTTGTTCCTCTTTCTTATTTAATTGCTTCTCATGAAACTTTACTAAGCAGAAATGAGCTTGTTCTGGAAGAGATCTCAAGCCGGAATGAGAACAAATAGTAATTACATGTTTTGTGAACTCAGTGTTATGAAATACTAAAGGTTCTCAGGAAATGATCATCTGGCCAGCAAAACGTTTGAAACTGATAACTGATGTTTTACAGATTAAAAGGGAAAACCCCATGAAAAATGCAACACTGCCATATTCAAGACTTTATCCCTGTCTTTGCATTGAGGTAGTACTTTTTTTAAATATTATTTATTTAGTTTTACATAAAAAACATCACTATTTTCTTTTTGTAAAAATGTTCCATTGCTCCATGTCAAATAGTTCAAAAATGTAAATAACAGAGAGACTAAAAGTAGAATCAAAGACAAGCTGTATTATTGGGAGGTACAAAATACCAACTTAAATGAGTTGTTGCAAAGACAATTCTTGGTGTATTCATTCTTTCTGGAATTGTCACATTTCTCCTTCTCTTTGAGATATAGTGCTAACTATAGCACTATATATGGGTGGAGACTTGTCTGGTAGGAATTTGTATAATGTCACCCATACTTTGAAATTGCTTTGAACTCACAGTGAGAAATGATTGTGTTAGAAAAAATTGTCTATCTCATACTGTACCTTATTTGTTGCACTCATTAAATTCTGGATATTTGATTTTGATCTTGCGAACAGTCATTTGCAATTGCTTCTCAAGAAAAGTACAAATAATTTTTGATGTTTGAAGCTGTCAAAGCATTTTTTTTAGGTATTGAAAAATTATTTGTTTTTAGGGCTGGTCTTCCATGGAAGATGCAAGCAGAATTCAACTATGTCCATTCAAAAACAGTGAGTACACAAAATGAAATCTCATGAGTATAATTTTCAGAGAGGCAGGTTTTCATGTTTTATTGCTAGTGGAAATCCACAAACATGTATTAAACCCTATCTACTTTAGAACAGGAATTTGATTTTGTAATCTGTTGACTTGTGCCAAAGATTGATTCCAAATGAAAAATTTGCAATGCATACATTTCAATTATGTTTAAACATATGTGCTTGGACTTCACACCTCTGTTGTCTAAAACAGAAATAACTAATAACTGTGCAAAAAGAGTTGTTGAAGTTTGAAGAAATGTACAGATCCAAAGTCTGTCAAATATCCTGCTCATGTGAAATAAACCATAACAATTGTTCAGAAAATGAACAAAGAAGAAACAGTTGGAATAATGTTTGAACTTTTTAACCCCAAGGCAAGAAAAATGCTGTGTAATGCTTACAGCAGTTGCAATAAAAGTAGTTTGGAAATAAACTAAAACATTCTGTTCTTCAATGTCATCCATACCATCAGGAAAGCATTACAATGGCACTAAATATAGACTCAGACAACACCTGAATGATACCAGGAAATTAATGCCCTGGCTTCCCCAGTTACGAAATCTAATCTCAAACACATTGATATGGAGATGGAGATGGTGGAGAATTAAATGAAACTGCAACTAGTAAATAGTCTGGAAAATGTTCAGAACCAAAAGGCCAAAATGGCAAGAGCATATATTGATAGATTACTAGAGGTACACTGTATATGATAAAATATTTAGAGTGACTATTAGCATTTATTCTGAATTGTTCTGATTATTGTAGTATGTTGCAAAATGCCAATAATGCATATTCTGCCCACTGGCCTGGATACAAAGGGGTTCATTCAGCATGTACTTTAACCTGGATTTTAATGTAAATTGGAAGTGACCCTTTCTTAGCTGTTGTGTAAACACATACTGTATAGAGAATTACCATTCATGATATTGCAGCGATCCTCCCTTATTTTTCCTAGCTCTGTCTGTTGGTGAGAAAACAGGGACAGGAGAGCAGAATTACAGGCAAGCTTTGTTGTCCTTTAATGGTCACAGGTGCATTTATTAATCAAGGAGGGGAGTAGAGAAAGAAAGGAAACTAAATACTGGGAGTAAAATGAAATAACAATTAATGAAAAAAAAATCTTAAAAATATTTAGAATAATTAAAATGTACTTAAAAACAAATACACAGTAAATAATAATTTTACAAATTAGTGGGAAGTGAGAAATAAAAAATAAGTAAAATAAAAATGTAGTGGTAAGTATAATTTGAGGTAAATGAGATCTTTACCATCTGGCACAGCTCTGGCAAAAGAGTAATATATTAGAGGCCATCATGAACGGACAAATATTTATTAGCAATAAAACACAACAACACAACTACACAATCAATACAACATCCAACATTAAATGTTACTCTGTAAACAAAACTGTGTTCCAATATCCTACTTTCTACAGAGACAGAAACCCACAGTGCTAATCCTGTAAACTGAACTCATCTACAAATACACTGACAGGACGCACTGACAGAAAACTACCCTAAATAAAAGATTACAACATGGGATTATATCTCCTACAACATGGATGATCAACAGTGAATGGGAATCCATCTCCCTGTTGTAAAGAGGCATCACCAACTGGGACAGAACATTTTAAGACTGAGGATTCTACAATAAAGGAAACCAGAATTTCCTATTAAAATAACTTCTATATATCTGTACAGACACAGAGGAACTTTGGTCTGGAATTACATACAACTCTGCAGCTCAGGAATTGTCTTGGAAACCTGTTTGCCCCATTGATGCTAAAATAAACCTCTGCTGGACATCTCGAGAAAATCTCTGTCTTGACTTGGCAAACACTTCTCAAGACGTCCATGGGTCAACAGTAAGATGCAACAATTAAATTTACTTAACTATAGCAAATATGTTAGAATATTTATAGTTTTTCACAGTTTCTGTGAGCTAAGATTGTTCAGACATTTAGCATTACTGAAATCCTTATTATGGCAAACATTGACAGCTTTTGATTCACAAAAGAATGTTGAAGTCACTGTACAAATGAGATTATACATAAATACACGCATTTTTATTTGTAATATTTCTGCAAATGCAGTTCCTGTGTGATTAAAAATTACTAGTATGTCCCTTCATACATTGTTCTACTTTCCTATATCTTTTTATTTTCCCTTTTATTGCATTTGTTTAATAATACTATGATAAATACTGTATACTTGTCTAAATGGTCCTTTCTGTCTATACTTGTCTAAATGATCCTTTCTGAAAACTCAGATCCAGTTTTTGCATCCATAGGTAAAATATGCTCAAGTGGATCCAAACCCAAGTCTTTGCATGAAGGTAAGATTATTAAATATTTATTGAATTACATGTGCTCTAATCGTACTGTAACTAATTGGACTTTTCTATGCATTTCTTAGTGAGTTATATACCATATGAGTCTTATGAGAACGTTTGGCTAGTTCATTTGTGTGAAAAAGGCTTGCTGATCTAAAGAACCTGTATAACTACTTATTAAAGAACCTGTGGCAATCTACTTCAACAAAATGAAACAGTTTGTTCAGGACACCCTGCACAAAGCCATAAGTCTTTGTTTCCCTATTGTTTTTGAGTACTGTAGATTTCCATGATTGATTAGAATCCTAAAGGATAATCAACCGTTTTACATATTTTTATCAAGTCCATTTATTGTTTTCAGTCTTTTCAGATGTCTGAGATAGACAGTTTTTGAGGTCTAGAGTAAACATGCATGACAACACAACACATTTAATATGAATTATGATATGTGAGAGAATAATCATGGTGCTGAACAAAAGGGCAGGTAAGAGTAACATATTTTAATTTACAATGATTTTTTTTTTAGTTTACTACAGAAGCTGGTTCTTGGATTAAATGCCCTTTTAGTAAAGATTATTTCCCAGGTAATTAAACTTTCTTTATCACATTTGTACTTTTACTTGTAAAATATATATTTTTAGAAACAGATATAGAAAGATATGAAAATATCTAAGAGCAAAAACAATCTGGTTTGTGAGCCATCTCAGTTCTTTTAATAAATTGTGCAATCCATCAAGTCTTCAGATTAAAACAGTATTTATTCACTTTATTTTAAAAGTGAACTATATTTATACTGAAGTCGCCAAATACAGAATACAAGGAACTGGCTAATATAAAAAAGAATGTTGCTAGAAATGGAACACTGATTATATAGTATAAACTGTATTCTTACAGCTTGGGACATGAAAGTGATTTCAACACACGGTCAACAGCAAATAGTCATTACTTCTCAGATCAGCACAGTGGTGTCTCTATCTCTTTGTAAGAAAGGTGAATCCTTTCTTTGTGACCCTGAAGAAGACTACCTCATTTCAATCCTTCTGGTAAGCACTTTTTTAATATCTGTTGAACATATAATGGCAAAAATAGAAACTGCCAGCAGCCATATCAACACTAAAGCTAAGCGGGGTTGCACTTGATCAGTACCTGGATGAGAGACCTCCTGGGAAGCCATGGTTGCTGCTGGAAAAAGTGTTAGTGGGTCCAGTGGGGGGTGCCCACCCTGCGGTCTGTGTGGGTTTTAATGTCCCAGTATAGTGGTGGGGATACTATACTGTAGTGGGCACTGTCTTTTGGATGAAACTTTAAACTAAGGTCCTGACTGTCAGTGGTTATTAAAGATCCTCAGGCATTTCTTGATAAGAATGAGGAGTTATCCCGGTGTCCAGGCCAAATTCTTCCTCCTTGGCCTTCACCGTGGCCTCCAAAGTGTCCCAATGTATGATTGGCTTGCACTTGCCCAGCGATGGACAGGCTGTACCCTGCCATGTGTTCATTGCTGCCGGGTAGGCTTCGGCTTCCCGCGACACCGTATGGTATAAAGCGGTCTGGTAAATGACATGACATGACATAAATAGAAACCGATGGAATGGAATGGAATCATGTCTTGATATTTTTCTGTCTTTACTTACCTATTGTAAGAGTGAACATGAAGATAATTATCTTTACATTTTCATAATTTATTTTACTTCTAGGATAAATCCAATACCACAATTGTTAACCTAACCAATGAAGTATGCAAGCCAAATGTGTGTATCCAGGTGAGTGTAGTTTTTTATTTTTTAGATATGTATTCCACTCTAAATGTAGAGTCATCATAATAAAGCTGATATACCATTTTAATTCCTCTTTTAAATTGCTTTTATTCCTTTTGCTAGGCAAGAAGATTAGATGCTAAATACTCTGCCCCTGTACAGAAGTGCAAATTACAGTGCTGTAAGTAAAACCTTATTTTAATTATCCTAACACTCATATTTGAATTGAAAAGTCTGTGTGTAAAAATCACTAAACAGCAGAACGGTCATCAACATAATGTCTTGTGCAAAACCCTTAAAGAAGAATCAGTACAAACATAATAAAAGGTGCAAGTCTGTAATTTATACAACCTCCCTTTCCAGTTCCTCTGTACTGTGATTTTTGTGATGGTTGCAGTCTGATGGGATGGGCTCAATGGAATTCCAAAGAAATCAATGTTAGCTTGAGGCTGAGTGTCTTTCAGCAAATTACTGAGAACTAATACTTCTTATTTATCTTCAAAGGGAGCTCTATGACTGCCTGAAGCTGCTTAACAACTTGTGGTCTAGGTTACACTGATAATATTTACAACAGAAAATGCATAAAAATGTGATGTCTGTCATTATGTGGATCTACCTGTCACAAACAACCTTTTAACCTCCATGTTTCTAGACAGGCTTCTTCAAAAAGGGGGATTAACGTGAACAGCAGATTTTGATGATTCTTAACTTGGTGCATATTATAAGGCATATGCACAGTGATTATATTTTAGATAATAACAGGAATTGACTGTTGTAATTGTGTAATTGTGGAATGTGAATGGCCTTTTCCAGTTTTTCAGTGTCTCACCTTATGCTCAGTTTGCTATTTTAGCATAGAGCCTTTGCCAGCAAATA